GGTGGAGTGCCCAAAATATTGCGTCGCGTGCCATTGGTTCGCCATTCCTGCACTAGCATATAAGACATGTTAACTTGATTCCATACGAAAGATCCCATCATATGATTTAGAACTTACTTGTTGCCAGGCACCCTCCCCTCACCTTATTTCTATTCAGTTCCTCATTACATAAACCCATTATAGATAAATTCTAATTCGACGAATCAGTTAATGTCGCTTTGCGGCATTATCTGAACTTCGCGTTATTTTACAAAAGATTCTTCTTTCAAAAACTCTACCTCTTTGAAATTCCTTCAAAATTATTTGACACAAATCTCGATTATTTACTACGCTCTATTAAGAAACGATTTATCATGTTTAGCACTTTCCCGAGATTAATGTGAAACCACTTTTACAAATTCCAACCCCTCCGTTTAGAGGTCAAGGGGTGAAAAAACAGGAAAAAAGGTAACAAATTATTCCCGTTTACCAAAAACATTGACCATCTTAGAATTTTGATGAGGTGAAAGGTCATTAAGGGGTAAAATAGGGCAGATTCGATCCGATGCTCTGTTTCGAACAATACTTGCTCCAATCCATGGGCGTCGCAAGGGTCTAAATTTTGAGGGGAACAAAAATAAAACACACAGTTACAATAGTTCTCTAACACAAAAAAAAAAAAAAATTCTTATGTCTGTTAAATATGTACAAAAAGATAAATTATTTTTCTCTCCCTCCTGCTTTTAACTTTGATGAATTTAATTCGATAATGATTTATGAAAATTTTCTTCATTTGTCTGAAATACTCAACTGGTTTAACTAAACGTGGCGACTTGCTCAAAAGAGCTAATCTTCGGTAAAACAGTTGTCGGTGCCTAAAATAGTTAAATAAATACATGACGCGAGATTTTGCTGAAAAATAATAATCGAGAATTCACAAAGAATTTTGAGAAAAGTTTTCAGCAGATTTGAGAAGTTCCAAAATCCTATAGAATGAGAGAGGATGATGTTTAAGCGAAAAATACTGAAACGAGTATATCGTATGTTCATGACAATGACATACATACTGCATATGGTATGTCCTATAAATATAAACTTTAAACTCATGACGCAGAGACATCTATGAAGGAATAAAAATATCCGCTAAGAGGAAAAGGACTCTCCTGTAACTGCCATCATCCAAATCCTTTGGTCCCATGTCGCAAATTCCCGCCATCCGAAGACTACCCGTGTACAAAATGGTGACTGGTGCTGGGTAAATCTGTCGTGGTCACAAAGTCCTTCAAGTCCCTTCCCCATAACAAATCAATACCTCTAGGGGTACTAGATAGGAGATTGATCATGCTTTGGTTGAGGTCAAAATTACTATCTGCGGATGGATGGAGTGTGAATGCGTCCTTCCTGTAAAACAGGCTGTGACGTATGTGCGTGACCGAAGTCGAATTCTCGGCCATAGATGGCGCCACTGGAAAACAAAGAGAACCGTGTCCATCTACCTTAAATAGGCTTTTCAATATTGATAAGTGGCATAAGACAACAACAAGAAAAATGTAGTAGCTAATGCGAGAAATTCAAAACAAATCTCTTGAAATAATTCTAGTTAGCAATGGCAATCATTGACTTGTCAGAAACTCTTCTTTTAGTCATGACTAATTCAACCACAAAATATGAGAAGAAAAAAATTCTTTTCAGTACCTCTGATAAAGAAATATTTAGAAGAATAATAATCTATCTAAAACATTGCTTCAAAATTCGATTAATCTGAATTTAATGGTTCATAAATACTCCGCCTATATTTAGAAAGATCTTCAATCCATTTAACTCGGCATTTAATAATAGGTATTTAACGTAAATGACTATCAGTTTGAACGTAGACTATTTCCTCAAGGTATTTTGTGTACTTATGAATATATAATCATAATACCATTAACCTACCTAAATGTAGAAGGATATTCCTTTAATGCATCTTCTTAAACAAAGTCTCAGAAAATAGATTGATATGACTTGGATATGAATATGATGACTTCTTTCTAGTTCTGTAGGGGAAAGTTGGTCAAAACTGAGTCCACTTTTTTTCTTTGTCCAATCTTATTATGAGTTCTTATTTTTTCTAAGTAATCACGTTAATAAAATTGAATGAATTTTAATTTGAATCATAAATTACTCGTTTAGATTAAAAATAAATAGTGTTTAATGTGGTATTGATAAAAATAATTTTAAAAAAAAACGCTGTTTTCGCAGGTGAAAGTCAAAGTATATCATTAACTTAATGAAAAACCAAATCTGTAACCGGTTATAGTTTTAAAGCACATTAAGGCTCATTAAGTTGGGCCGTTTGTTTATTTCTTAGCTAATCTAAAAGCAATTAAGGTGCGTCTCGGGCTGATGTAGATTTGTGCCACACTTTTCAAGAAATGAAAATTTGCACTTAAATCATTACTTTCATTTAAAAATACATAGATCTTTTTACTTCAATTTTTTATTTTTTATTTTTTTTTTTTACTTATTCCGGTTTAACAGAGTGGTGGGAAGGTTTTGGTCATCCTTTACTAAACTGTCTTAAAAATAATTCTGAAATCCTTCTGTTAACTGATTCGAACTTTCCCGTCCATTGTAAGTATTTTGTAGAATTTTTATTTAAGCAAAATTAAAGTAATTGGAAATTAACACTATTATGATTAAAAATTAACAATTTTTAATGAAACTGTTATAACTGGATTGTTGGTTTAATTGTAACGCATTTCGTAAGCAATGATAAACATTTGTGAAAGCGGGAAAAATAATAATAGGTAATTGAACTGTAATTTTAATTGGAAATTTAGTCTTTGAGAAAGCAGATGGAAAAAAAAATGCTGTTTTTGTTTTTAACTATTCATAACTATTATAAGTTTTAAGTACAACAAACAAATATTTTATGAATATTTTTTTTTAGTTAATGCAATATATCCTCATTATTTCGAATTGTGATCATCCATCCACAGTGAATTGTGATCATCCATCGGTATTGGAAAAAATATTTAAAAAAAAAATATCAGTTAAAAACACAGTTGAAAAACTGATTTTTCAGTAATAAGTACATGGTGACATTTGGGAGTCAAAAGTTTTTTGATAATTTTTAAATTATAGCTTTTTCAATACTTTAACACATTTTTGGGAAGTAAAATCCCACATGTTCTGTCCGAAATCCCAATCCTGATATAATAATTGGCAATTTTAAAGGATTTGATTAAAATTATAATAATCTTAATCGATTCCGTTAAAATTGCCATTAAAATAGTAGCTTACGTTTGATAATTTATGTCCACCGAAAAAGATTTTCCAGAGTATGGCGTGAGATTTACGGTGGATACAAAAAAGAGTACCGGGAAACAAGAGCACCGGAAAAAAAAGTTACCGGAAACAAAAAGAGCACCGGAAAAAAAAGGATATCGAAAAAAAGAAAAGCCCCGGAAAGAAAAAGCACTTCATTAAGAATGATATATGTGTAACCTGCAATTAATTCGTCCGATTCTCGGATTTAATGCGATAAATTAATTATTCGATTATTATTAGATATTTTTTTAATAATTAATTAAGATTCAAAGTTTAATTTGAACTTGACTGAACAGAACCTTTCAATGCTGATAAATATTAACAAATGTGATAAAATATTTCGATTACATAATTTTTCTTTTTCTAAAAAAAAAAATGACTAGTTGAAAAAGCATTATTTGTATCACAATACAATAAGTGTATTTAGGAAAATTTAGAACAATTTCAAAACTGCTGAAGAGTCTCTATTTACCATTTGTTAAATTGACCATTTATTACATTGAATGAAGTGGGGAAAGTTCTTTTCCGTAAACTTTAAATTACTCCTTATTATTCTACATAATGACAGTCGGTGATTCATAAAATTCTTATTTATGCTTTTTCTATTTTTTTTCCTGCAAATATATCCGTTATTGATTTACCTATTGCGTTCTTTTCATTTTCATTGAATTCATTTCTTTCTTTCATTGTTTTATAAATACATCCACGGATCTTGATAATATTAAAATTCTGTATTCACATTTTTTTTAAAAATCAAACCATAAATAAATCCTCAGTTAGCACTCGAAATCACGAATCACGCATACTATAACGATTTATTTCATATAACTTTTTCTTAGCTTATTCTTTGGTGAGTTATGGCTTTGGGGGGAAATTAGCCGGGGTGGGGAAGCAGGAACACCCCTGTCATTTCTTCGAAAATCGCGTTAAAACCAGTCCAATAAGGAAATAGTGTAATTCCCCAAGAAATTCCCTACTTTCTACCTTTCTCCCTCTGTTGGGGTTCCGAAGATTTGAAAATCTTTCCGCAGTGAGTCACAAACTTGTTCGATTCTTGCAGNACTAGTTGAAAAAGCATTATTTGTATCACAATACAATAAGTGTATTTAGGAAAATTTAGAATAATTTCAAAACTGCTGAGGAGTCCCTATTCTATTTACTGATTGTTAAATTGACCATTTATTAAATTAAATGAAGTGGGGAAAGTTCTTTTCCGTAAATTTTAAATTACTCCTTATTATTACTACATAATGACAGTCGGGGATTCATAAAATTCTTATTTATTTATTTATGCTTTTTCTATTTTTTTTTCTTCCTGCAAATATATCCGTTTTTGTTTTACCTATTGCGTTCTTTTCATTTTCATTGAATTCATATATTTCTTTCATTGTTTTATAAATACCTCATCCACGGATCTTGATAATGTTAAAATTCTGCATTCATATTTTTTTTTAAAAAATCAAAACATAAATAAATCCTCAGTTAGCACTCGAAATCACGAATCACGCATACTATAACGATTTATTTCATATAACTTTTTCTTAGCTTATTCTTTGGTGAGTTATGGCTATTGGGGGGAAATTAGCAGGGGTGGGGAAGCAGGTACACCCCTGTCATTTCTTCGAAAATCGTGTTAAAACCAGTCCAATAAGGAAATAGTGAAATTCCCCAAGAAATTCCCTACTTTCTACCTTTCTCCCTCTGTTGGGGTTCCGAAGATTTGAAAATCTTTCCGCAGTGAGTCACAAACTTGTTCGATTCTTGCAGTTGCGAGAAGTGTTCGAAGCTCCAGTATTGAAAAGTTCGCTCAGTAGGTTAGTTGCTAATCTGTTGTGAAAGCACGTGTTTTTAGAAATTCGAATTATTGGATAGTGTTTCTCACTTCTGACTTTCGCACGAAGCTTTGTACAATAAAATGATTTGTAAGTTCTGGCTTGACAACGGATAATATTCTGATTTAATTTGTGTGACTGCCGTGGTGTGTAAATATTTTGATATTGCAGCTGTAGATTTGGGTAAGATAATCTTTTCTTTTATTTACTTGTCATGATTTTAGTGAACTTTCTTCTTATATCTGTTGAACACTTATAAGATTTTTCATGTCTTTAAGCTTTTTAAGTTAAATCTATGATTTTTTTTTTCTATAATCATTTATGTGTTAATATGGGCAATGCTTTCGACGAAGCTTGTATTTAGCAGTTTAGTGTGATCGATTTTAAAAGTGATTAAATTTAATAGGTCTATTTGCACCGAAACTTTAACCGATCATTAAAAGGAACTAAAAAATGTCCACTGTCATGCATTATTTTTGAAAAGGTTTATTGATATTGTTTAAATTTAATAGCGATTATTAATTTTATTTAACTATTCTCAATTGTATTCTGCTTATGTTTAGATTCTATTTGATGTTCACTAATAAGTGCTTTCGATGAAGCTTGGCTTCTAATTTTTCAATTTACTGCGATAGATTTCAATTGTTTTTAAGTCTATTTGCACTGAAACTCTCAATCAATCCATTCTTTTATGTAAAAGTAAATAAACCATTATCATACATGTAATTTAAAATATTTGTTCATGTTGCTTAAATTTAATAGCATTTTTTAATTTTATTTAGCAAATATCAAGTTAAGATTCTTCAGTTTCAGTGTTGTATGGTGTAATAAGTGCTTCCGATGAAGATTAGCTTCTAATTATACAATTTAGTGTGATGTTTTTCAATAGTTATTTAGTCTATTTGTTCTGAAACTTTCAATCGTTCTATTTATATTTATATATCACCCACAAAATTAAAATATTTATTGACTTCGCTTAAATTTAATAGCAGTTTTTAATTTTGTTGAACAATTTTCAGTTAAATCCTATTTGTATTTATATTTTTCCTTTATAATTCTTTCTTTTATTTAATTAGTTGAGAAATGATCCAGATTTAACGTATGAATTTAAATTTTCAAAAGTGTATAATATGCCTTTTAAAAATTTTTACTTTTAATTTTTTTTTAAATTGTTGATAAACTCTGTGCATGTTGCATAAAGATTTTAAGATGAACGCGTCTTTTGTTTAATACTCGTAAATATAGTTAGAAATAGTGCAAATTAATTGTAGATAAGTGATAATTACCTATAGAAATCAGGATACTAATACTCATACGTCAGGATATGTTAGTTAATTTTAATCATACTTTTGCATACACGATTTTTTAAATAAACTTTGTCCTGTTGTGACTAATTGAACGAAATATGTTATATATTTCCATACATTTCATCACGTATTTAAACTTGGGATAAATTTTATTTTGAATAATAGGGGAAAATGAATGTTTGATATCGACCACAAGACTTAAAAAATTACTGTTAATTGTCACTTTTTTCGTCGAAAAAGGACCCCGTGTGCATATTTTTTTTAATAAATATGGAATTGTAATTATTTGTACCATTCTGAGAAGTACTTTGTTTCACACTTGTTGTTGCTTAAAATGTTTCCGTGAATAAATGCTTAAAATGTTTCCGTTCCTAGTAATGTTTACCATATTTTGAGATATGCTTCAAAATAAATACTACCATGCATTATTATCAATATTTTTTTTAATCAATTGTTGAAAAAATGGCTACTTTTAAACATGTTAAATCAGGACAGTAACAAAATTTCCTAATTTTACCCTATACATGTTGCGACTCGTTTACTGGATTTCATGATTTAAAAAGTATTAGTTTTGTTTGAAGTTTGTATATATGTTATGTGTCTAATATTAACATCTCACTTAGGTGTTTTTTAAAAATTATTTTCATATTTATCGTACATTCAATCGCAGCTTCAAATTTATATCAATTGTGCATGCATCGCGTCGAATTGATTTTGTTAATGGCATCAATCTGTCTCTGAACAAACGCTAAATTTTGTAAGTTAGATAATTTTCAGTCTTAAAATTACAAATCTGTTGTTATTGTTAAATTAACGTGCATGTTACAATTAAAAGTGGATTCCAACTTGGAATTATCGTGGAATTTTTGTGTGGAATTGATAAGTAATCTTTGTTGCAATTAAATTCGGACAAAAGACCCATTATATCAATAAAACCGGAGGCTAGTACAGTGTCGTGGTCATCGAATATTGTTAGTTTTATCACATTTTCTTTTAATTATATCAAGGTGGTTATTCCTGACTCTATGTGAAATGTTCGTTTTTGTAACAAAAACGTGAAAAATTACATAATTTTCTAAATCAGAAATTGTTGTAAGCAGGGTTGGGTTTTTGCCGTCAAAAATTGGTTTTTGACATGAAAGTGGTATAAACCGTGTTTTTACCGGTAAAAACCGTCAAAAACCTATTGTTTTCTTTAATTTAGGGCATATAGCGGACAATATATTTTCACATAATTGCCTTTATAAATGAATGTTGTAAATTATTGCTATTGATTTTGGAGCTATATACATGTATTCTTATAGAAGGATATACATTCATATAGAAATATTCAAACTCTAAAAGGATTTCCCAGGCTTTTTCATGTCTCATTTCTGTGTAAAATCAAAATTGATAAGAAAAGTTTATTTTATGAGGCTTTCTATTTATGAGAACATGTGTTTCTCATAGCAAGATTTTATGATTGAAAGTAATCAATCTTGACATTCTTCAGTAATGTAGTATGTCAAACAAAATGATGCTTGGAAATTTTGAAAATTTTGTTTAGTATCCTAATATTTTACCTCAAATAGTATGTTTTGATATATTCATGTTGGGAAAATGCAAGAATCTGTTCTTAAATATCTTTTAACAACTTTTTTTCTAATTTTATTGCTCAAAAATGAATTAATTTTAAATTATAAGCAGTTAAACTCAAATAAAAATACAGTTTTACCAAGACTATGGGTTTTTGACGTTTCTGACAGAGGGGTTTTTGCCGACATGTCTCAAAAACTTGCCAACCCTGGTTGTAAGATTAGGTTCTTTCTGTCAGGACCCTATTTTTGCTAATGTGAAAATATTTTTAAAGTAATTTAAAAGAAATCGACTCCGTTTCTCAAAGAATTTCGCAAGTGATTTATTTATTTAATTTTTAGAATGGAAAATTTGATGAAAGGTCTGTTTGTTAAGGATAAAGTATTTTACAAAAGATCAGTTTTTGCGGTAAATAGTTGCGTTAACCTTAAACCCTTTGAGGTGGAACACCGATGCCCCTTTTATATATTTTTTTCTTGTTCGCTAATTACTGATAAAAATATAGTTTTGTGTTTTTTAATTATGAAAAACAGTTTAATAATCCCTAAAAAATCTGTTAGATTATAGAAGTTACATTTGTACTAAAATATAAAGTCCAAAAAGATTAGTTTAGAGTTTTTTCTTTTCATTCATATTCAAAGATTTATCGATAAGTGTTTCGCTTCGATCTAAATTTAATTAGATCTTAGATGTAATTTGAAAAAAATATTATTTAGAAGTGAGCTGTGTTTGGAAGAGTCTACCCTTCAAAGCAGAAAAAGACATCGATGTTTCGCGTATTTCATAACCATAAATCAGGGTTGGAGTTTTTGCCGGCAAAAAGGGGTTTTTGCCAGGGCAGTGGCAAAAAACTGGTAAAAACCGGCAAAAACCATATTATCTAAATTGCTAATTAAATATTATTACAAAATACTTGAAACAAATTTAAATCAATCATAAGGAGGTAATTGTTCTCNAATAAATATTATTATTTGTATAATACTATTATTTATTATAAAAAATTATTATTTGTACAATAATTAACTACACATGTTGATAGATATTTTATGCTTTAAATTATAGTTATATTAATTTAAAATAAGTTCATTTCACTGGAAAAAAGAGAATAATCACAAATTTTCCAATCAATAATGTTTTAAACTACTAAAATGATACATTATCATTTAATTATGGAATAATAGTTTTGTTAATTTTTTTGTAATTATTTATATTCATAGTATATTATTCAATTTTAGGAATAATTTTGTATCAAAAATGTGTTTTTGTCCTCTCATCTTGAAAAATATAGGTTTTTGCCACGTTGCTTGGCAAAAACCTGTTTTTGCCAGGACGGTTTTTACCGGTATTTACCAAGGTTTTTTCCACCCGCGGCAAAATCTTGCCAACCCTGCCATAAATTATTAAAATGCCAAATATAATATTTTCTCTTGTTTTGACCTAAGTTGCAAGAAAAAGGCAAGAAAAATGTAAAATAAAAATTCTGTATCAACGGGTATAAAACTGACAAAACATTTGAAGGCTCCGTCGTATTATGAAATGATGCGTTTTTGCGAATAGTAACCTGCTGTTTCTGCTGCAAGTTTGCACCTGTTGCTCGTGACTGTTAGTCCAGTTTAGCCTATCTAAAGCCAGCTAAAGATTTTTCTGGGTTCTTCAAAATCATAACATTACTTTTAAGATGGCTAATTAAATTTTTGATGAAAAAGTAGTTTAATTTAATTATGTATGAAAGTTCAAATTATCATTTCACACATTTAAGTATTGCACTGAGGGTGCTATATGGAGATATAGCGCAAGTTTATTTTTTTATTTAAGTATTGGAAAAACTTCATTTGTTATTATTTTTACATTTATGCGATGCTGAAGAAAGTATTTCTTATATCTGACATTGTTTGCTCAATCATAGAATAGCACGAATTGCTTCTTTTTTATTTTTTTGGTCAATGTGGCACCCCATTGGTCTCGTCATCCAAAGTCAGTGTCAGAATATGGCTATGTATTGAGCAGATTTGAACAGGCTTTCGCAGGACGATTATTTAAATATGAAATTTCTCTGCATATTTTTACCAATCTGTTACAATTGCATCAGTCTTTTCAACCCAATCGTTTCTGATGATTTTTAAATCGTTCCATCAAGATGGCTATCCTTATCTAATCTTGAAATTGTTGTAGTTTATTCTTCGGACATTCTTATCTTGAAAACGTGTTAGGTTCGTTTCTTTGTCGGCATGTTAAATCTGATGGTTTTCGGTTTGGTAATCTAGCAATCACAAATTTTCTCATGGAGTCCAATCTTATAAC